GAAGCAGGCGCATGAAAAATGCTGGAAAATGTGGCTTCCTGGTGGATTTAGAAGCCGAGACAATTCATTTCATGTATACTTGCTTACGACATGTGTTGCATTTTATTCCCTCAACTTCCCTGACATCTTTGCTCCCATCCTCTAATACATCTCTAATAAATCAGCAGTGATGACACTAAAAAAAAAAGAAAAACAATAAAATTAGTTCTTGATACAAATAATGTTAAAAGGCATATAACTGAAACAGAAATGTAAATTAATAAATCAGTTATTCTCCAATTTTCTGTCTCACTACTTCCAGCAGCCTCAGCACACGCACACACACACACACACACACACACACACACCCTTTTCCACTCCCCAGACCCTCTTTGGCTCACCTGCTCTTTATTGGCCATCTGCATGGATGCTTAATGCTAATCAATAACTCCCCTGTGTGCCAGCTCTGAGGTGGAGACGTCAATGCTACCTAACAGGACCAGCGATCAACCTTCATCACTGCGGTCTAGGATACGCACACACACAAAGTAGAGCTCCCTCCAGGACCCTGTCTGTGTCATTCAGGTGTGTTTGTGCTTGCTGCTGTACTTGGCGCCTGCTGTGTAGGATTGCACAGCCTGTTGTGAGTGTGAAGCACAGAGAGCTGCAGCGTTAGCAAACAGCAGAGACTGGTTATGTGAGGGACTGTCATATAAGTCGGGAGTGCCTGTTTAGGGCGGGAGAATGACTGTGAGTGTGAGATAGATGGGGAATAAATGCTGATCGTTCTGCTCACTATAAAACTTAAGGTGGAGATTGTCTGGTTTTAATACTCCAACACGTTTATTTGCCTTAGCGCGACGCGGAGTGCGCAATGTAAGCATTTAATCTCTCCAAGCATGCAGTGCATTTGTTCATAATAAGGCAGTTTTGTGTGTCACGTGTCTATTCTCACAGAACATTTTGTACAAAAGGACAACAGGTTCAAAGTCGTGGATGACACTGGTTAGACTAGTACAATGCAATAGAGCTGACACGAGTGAGTCACTTAAATCAAAAGGCATGTCTTTTTTTTTTTAGGGAGACTGGGTGTCTGCTTACTGATCAAAACAGGTTCAAGTGCTTTTTATTGTCGGCTAAATCTAGGCTATGCTTAGGCATTGTGTTTGCTCATACCAAGGTGCTAAATTTCCTAGAGAGTCACTGCAGTCTGTGCATGCCAGGAGACTCCTGTGGTGACACGCTACCTGCCTACCTGTCTGGTTTGGCTGACCTCTTAAATAGCAGGACAAGGGCTTGTGCTCACAGGTTTTTCTGAGCTCACAGTTTGCGAATAACAAACAACTGGTATCTACCTGAAACTCTATTTTTGCCATCCCAAAGAGAAAACTGTATCACAGTCTGACATGCAGTCTCACGATCTTCCTCTGTGTCAATTTGTTGTTGTAATAGACCTAAATCCAGCAGTTATTGCAGCTCTAAACAGGTTAATTGGGTTTTGTGTGTCATATAAGCATAGAAATGCAGCTCCGTTTTCTCAAACATACCATAGCTGCCCAGCCACATGCCATGTGTGACACAGCGACAAAGAAGCCTTGGGATATTGGCTCCAGTCAAGATCTTTGATACTGGGCATTTTCCATCAATGGGAGCCTCTGCATGGCAGCCATATTGGGAGGGAGAATACTGTGTGGTCGCCTGAGAACTTGTGTGTTTCCCAGCCAACGTGCATCTAAAGAATAACAATTTCACTAGCCATGAAGACCATCCATGGAGCCGTGGGGTCCGTGGCCAGAAAGCTCGGCCAAACACTCCACACTCACGCAGCTTTCTATGTACTCCTATAAATACATCTCCTATTTGTATAGAGGCGATATGCATCTTTGGGAAAATACCACAATGTTGACATAAGAGCACCCTCTACACTCTCACCTCCCCCTCCCATCTCTCTCTAAACTCCTACCCCTTGCTGAACCTTTCACTGGTTGGGAGAGAGAGAGTCAGAAAGACGGAGAGAGTGAGGGAGAGAAGGAAAGAGAAATGGAGGGAGACTGAGAGTAAAAGAAGTGTCTCTTAGAGGCCTCCACGGTCTTTAAGCCACTATGGTATCCACCAGAGCCCTCACATACACTTAGGCTCTAAAGGGCTTTTGTCCTGTAAAGAGGGGGTTTGGCTAAATTGGGGGTGCTTGTGCATTGGCGGGTGGGATTGGGCTGGATGTAGTATATTTGGCTCCCACGTCTCCATCACTGGAATGGTGAACTTTATTATTTTTTTTAAAGCTAAGGAGTTGGAAGGTGGGGTGTGGAGTGGGGGTGGTGGTCGTTTTTTTTTTTTTTTTTTGGGAGGGGAGAGAAGTTTGGAAATCTTCCAAACAGTGCCTTTTTGCTTTCAAAAAAACCCCTCTACTTGTGTAAATGTGCTCTTTGTCCCTTGGCCTATTGTTTGAATAGCATTGTGGACTTTTTGTGGGAAGCTCACAGGGGCCTGGGGGCCTAGGGGGCCAAGGAGGGACCAAGGGGGGCGCTGCCTGAATGACTTAGACCCAGGACATGGAGCTGTGGAGGCACCAAGGTACAATTAAGAAATGTTAATGCATGCATACACACACATGGAAATACAACTCCCCACACATGCTTGGAAAAAAATAACCCAGAAATGGTAAAAAATCAACTAAAAACCCGGTAAAAAGCAAAAAAAATGTTAACAGTACGAGTCTTTCTGAGAACTGTCCCATTGTAGTAACTTCTTTGCTGATAGAAACAATATGAAAACCGCCCGGCTCCCTCCCCCTATTAAGGGATTTCTTAATAGAGCTGAATGTCTGGAGTCCCTCGCTTCAGCCAATTCATGACATCCATCTGTCCTCGCTCTCAAAAGATGCCGGCAGGTGGAAGAAAAGCACAGAGCATTTGCATTTTGGGGCCCATTTATTCTTCAGAGTCCATGGGTCAGTCCAGTAAAAAGCTTGCCTGTATTGTAAAATTATGGAGTTGAAGTATGTTAAAAACACTAACTCCTGGGAAATGCAAGGACTTTGGACCTGCGTATGGTGCAGCCAAGAGAAGCAAAGAGAAGTAGCACACTTTACATTGTGATGAAGTCCTCGTAGAACCGAATGAAGTTAAGCAATAAAGTTGTTGTGATGCCATATTGAAACAGGTGCATTTAGTTACACAGACCTCATGCAGATTTATTTCAGATCCAATCAGGATAATGTAATGCGGATGAAGTAAGACCTAATGAGTAATCACTTGCATGTAAGGACAGATTACTAGTACTTGAAGTTTCTGCGACTCTGTAAATCCCTATCCCGGCTGTACACAGACCCTTGACTATACTTCCAGTTACTATACGTCCTATAGTTGGTTAGATACCAAAGGCTCTTCTGAACTCTCCTTCACTGTCATCACTAGATATCCTGTGACCTTCCTAGCACTAATTCCCCCCACCCCCCCACCCCCCACCAGAGCAGCACACGAGCTTTCCACTGGAAGGTGATTGAGCATGGCACCCTGCTCTACCCTGTCCTGCTTTGTCTGGGGACGTGTGCCTGTGTCAGGATCCACAATTAGTGGGGCGCGTCCCCTACCATTAATCACAGAGCAGTCCTGGATCTCAGTACCCTACAGCCACACTTACTGACAACTTACTCAGCATCAGCAGCCTTATGCTAGCATCCTCAAACACAGCGAGGCTGTGTGAAACCAAACATATTCTGTTTTTTTTTTCCCCTTCTCCCATCGAGTCTAACATTGCATTTCAGTATAAGAACTCACTGAACTGATGCTATATCTTGTATTTTATTCAGCATTGTCACCACATGAGATCTTCTCAGCATGTAAAATATGCACGGATGTAAAACTGAAATCCCACAGACGACTTTGCAGTGTCACATAAACTTCGCAGCCCGTGCGATGTACACCAGTGAAGTCATGAAAAACAATACGTGCTTTTGGCAGAACGAACTGCAGACAGACAGCAAACACAAACCTGACCTCTTGAGGGGAAAGTATATCCCCAATTCCCATTTCACTCAGAGTATTCAGATCAATACTGTGGCAGGATGTTAAATATTTGTCATCAGACGATCACACATTGATGAAACAAATCAATGGGTGATAGGAGGCAATGAGACAGAGCTGTGTGCTCGCTTACCTAGCTCCTAAGGGACGGGGAGGGAAAAGAACGGGAACGATGGAGGGAGACAAAGATTTGTGGCTCTCGGGGGCTGAGATTTTTCTCTTGGGTACTATTTGTTTGTCTTTTTTTTTTTTTTTTTGTCAATGAGGGACAACCATGAGGAAAAGGATAAAGGAACTTATGGGTGGGTGTGTGAAGAGTTTCCCCTGAGAAAACGCAGAAAATTCCATGCAGTTCATTTAGTAAGCTTTGCATTCTTTACCCACATGCTTGTATATAAGACATCACACACATAATTCTCTGACATAAACTGATATGTTGAAGCACAGACACACTTTGTCCCACACTTACACACAAAAACTGCTCTGTATGCTCTGACTGTCTTTATTTAACGCATAATGAATTTTTTGCTGGCTTTCTTTCGATCACTCTCTCTCTCTGTCTTTCTCTGTGCTCTCTGTGCTTTGTAAAAACAGAGGAATGAAAAGCAGCCAGATGGTAGCTCAGGCCTAATATAAAATCAATACACTGCCTCCAAGAGAACTGAAGGGGGAGAAAAAAAGAAGAAGAGTTAGTGGGGAAAAAAAGAACATTTAAACACCAAATTTGCCAAAATAGAGTTCTTTGGTCTCTCCTTTTCTCTCTGCT